TTTTAATTTCGTCCGTCACTTTTGCCAAGTATCGTGCCGATACTTCGTCATTGTATCGTCAATAAAAATGATTCCATTAAATATCCAATTACCGGAATGAATTATAATCCATGTATAGACACGATACACGTGGAAAAGAAATGGCGAATCTATTGAAAAAGAAGAAAAAGAAAAGAACTTTTACATCACGCGTCGAGAAGATTATTTCAAGTTTTTTTCTTTCCCTCTTCCTCTTCTCGAGGCAATTGTACAAATTATATTCGTTGATTAAAGTGTTAGATTTTTAGAAATATGAAAATTGACTTGATACACTTCCAATACATCAAAAGTATATAAATCAAAATATTAAAGATTAAAAGTTAAGAAGTTAAAAGGGCTTCTGGAAATTAGAAAATTGACTAGACAGGCTTCCAACATATTAAAAGAATATAAATCTAAATATTCGTATTAAAGATTAAAAGTTAAGAAGTTAAAAGGGCTTCTGAAAATTAGAAAATTGACTCAATAGAAATCCAAGGTATTAAAAGAATATAAATCAGAATATTCGTATTAAAGATTAAAAGTTAAGAAGTTAAAAGGGCTTCTGGAAATTAGAAAATTGACTCGATAGGCTTCCAACATATTAAAAATATATAAATCTAAATAGTCGTATTAAAAGTTAAGAAGTTAAAAGGGCTTCTGGAAATTAGAAAATTGACTCGACTTCCAACATATTAAAAGAGTATAAATCAGAATATTAAAGATTAAAAGTTAAGAGATTGGGAGGGCTTCTGGAAATTTAAAAATTAACTTAACAGACTTCCAACATATTAAAAGAATATAAATCAAAATATTCGTATTAAAGATTAAAAGTTAAGAGATTGGAAAGGCTTCTCTAAACCGGAAAATTGATCTGATACACAGACTTCCAACGTATTGAAAGATGAATAATATTCGAAATAAACTCTTCGAGTTTATTTTATTAACTATAAATGAAAAAAAGAAAGAAAAAGAAAAAGAGAGGACGCTTTAACGAAAGTAGATTAGAAGCCTACAAAGGGATGATGGACATGTCCACGCCCGACAGTCAACAGCTCGACTAATTCGATTCCTCGTCACCGTGTTCGGTAAGCGTGTCAAGCTTCGCAAACGTATCCTAAATCGTTCGACAAACAAGCATGACGAGCAAACTTTCGCGCTCCCTCCTCGCAAGATCGTGTTTCACGCGTTTCGAGCCCCGTGCGCACACATCGAGGTGAACTCGATGGAGGGATCCCCTTCGCGTATACGCCATCGCTCCGATCCCTCCGAGCATTCCGATTGGCCTCTGCTCCGCTTTTCATTCCGTCGCTTCCGCTCGGATCCGACCTCGTGGAAGGAAGCGCGATTATTATTAAAAAAGACCGATCAACATCTCGCCCTTCCCTCGCATCGCCGGATCCCGATCGGTATCACAGTTTTCTTCCATTTCACTGTCCCTTTCTTCCCCAAAAATTGTGTGACGCGCCGTACACCAAAGTTTCCGCAAGAGATCTTGCTACGATAATGCTGTGTTTTAATCGAGAATTTGTTATTTATTATATTATGGGGATGTTACGTTCGTTTGAAAGATATTTTATTACCGCCGTTGCAACGATATTAAGGTATTAATATTAAGATATTATTGGATAGAGTTAAGTACAATTGAACGTGAAATTCGCAAAGAATCCGTTTCCGTTTCATATAATACAGAATGTAAAATTTTAAGAGTAATCTGTAACGATAGCAAACATTAAAAATGAAGGAATTTGAGGAATTGGCGGGTTGAAAAATTACAAGCGTAACCCTGTTTTTACGATCGTTGCCCGATTAGGAACAGGAAGGAAGGAAGATGAGCTCGATTCTCCGGTTCGGGATCCGTTTCATAGAAGGAAAAGGAGACGCGTGCAGGAAGGATGAGCGGCACACGGAGGTTGTCCACTCGTAAATAGTGGCACGCAACGTCGTTTCTGCGGCCGCGTTTCAGCCACGCGACCCTCTGGGACAGGACCCCCATTAGAATGGCCATCGAGATAACGGGGATACGTGGCCCAAGCTTTATTTACCCTGACGACGAATTCGATTTTCAATGCTTCCTCCTCCTGTTCGAGGTCGAGATGGCTCCGTCACGGCTAATGACCGTGGCTAATGCCCGTGTTTCTACCCCGATCGATCCCTCTCTTCCGCCGCAAGGACCAATCCGGAGGGGGGGAGGTTTAAAAATTGTGCGCGGGAACGAATCGATGTGAATCGGTGTAATTGCTCGGTAATAGTGTTCGTGTGTGTATATATACGATAATTACAGGTGTACGGGGTGAAACGAAGCGATTCGTTGTGAATTATCGCGTTCAATTTTATTCCAATTTGTTTTCCAATTCGGTATGTCGGTTAATACGATTATTTAATAATAATCGCGCTTCTTTTAATCTCTTTAACGCGCTTTTCCATCTTTCTTGAATTTGTTTTCGAACTTTTAATGGATCTAGGAATCTTATTAATTAATTATTCGTATACTTTTTCCTCTCTTTTCGCGCTCCTCCACGGTCTTTTAATTCTTTCTTTCGAGTTTTCGCACTTTGTTCCCAATTATGCAAAAAATTACGGATGTCATAATTCTTTTTAATAAGTGTTAAATGTATTCTCGCGTGAGCTGTCTGTTTCTTTCATTTTATATATATATAATTCGTAGAAAAAGCAATTAATAAATTTGAATGAACGAGTGAACTCTTGACGTAATTAATTTAATTGAGATTATTATTATTACTCTTTCATCCACGTTTAACTTTTTCAAATTTAAAACCGCGCCTTAGAATTTGGAGGAATTTAATAATTACGCATACATTTCTACGAAACAAAATTTTGCATTCTTCGAAACAATTTCATCCTCTCCACGCATCAATCTTCCGCGCATCCCTTTTAAAGAATTTAAAAAAAAAAGTATTTCGATAAACATTCTTGGTTCACCTCGATCCCCACCCACGTAACGTAAACGCGAGAGACACGTTGGATCAAGTTGGAACGGCGTGGTAGGTGGTGATAGCGGGACGATGAGCAAGTACGATGAAAACTGGCCCGAAGGGTCGCGTGGCGCACGCGTGCTTCACCGAGGAGTATTGCGTGCACCTTTTTACGAGCGGCCAAGTCGCGCATCTTTCATGCACGCATCGATGCCCTTCGACGCTAAATGCTCCACGAGAAGGACGTGGAGGTGGAGGAGGTTGTTCGCTTTCGAAACGCATCGGCGGACTCCGTATCATCCGGCTTCTCTCCACCTCGCAGGTGGTCTTGTTTTCTTATTCGTACACGGTCT